GAGACACTGGGTTGAGACCAAGGTCAAAAAACATTGCCGCTGCCCTCCAAATTATCTCCGTTCCATGAGGAAGATCATATACATGTGTAGTAGCACAAAACAGACTGGAACAGAGCCCATGGTATGTAACCCCAAGGATGGTCACCTATACCAACACCTATTGTATTAGATTCTGCCCTAAAACAATAAGGGTTAGATGCTAAGTTATGTAGTCCTGGGTCTTAACTCTAATAGCCATAATAACCCTAGTAACCTAGAATATCTCTGATTAACTATCCCCTGCTTTTACATAGCTGGTGTCCATTGGGTTTGTTTTTTTACAGCCTCTCTTGTACCACAGTAGGTACACTTGCTTCATGAAAGCAGGAACCACGTTCACTGCTGCATTCTTATCCCCTAGCCCCATACTCAAACACACAAAAGATACCCAATAAATATTGATTGATTCACTAAATGAATGAATGATGAGCAGGCCTGCTTCTAGAAGAGCACTGCCCAATAAGAGTGTAACGCAAGCCATATATGTAATTTTAAAATTCTAGTAGCCACATTAAAAATAATACTGGGCTGAGTACCGTAGCTTATACCTGTGATCTTAGCAATTTGGAAGGTCAAGGTGGGCAGATCACTTGAGCCCAGGAGTTTGAGACCGGCCTGAGCAAAATAGCTAAACCCCATCTCTACCAAAAAAATATAAATAAGCCAAGTGTGGTGGCATATACCTATAGTCCCAGCTACTTGGGAGACTAAGGTGGGAGGATTGCTTGAGCCCAGAAGGTTGAGTTTGCAGTGAGCCATGATTGTGTCACTGCACTCCAGCCTGGGCAACAGAGTGAGACCCTGTCTGAAAACAACATCATCATCATAAAAAGAAACCAGCAAAATTAACTTTACTACTATATTTAAACCGATATATATATAATATTATTTCAACATGCTACCAATATAAAAAATTATAGTCTTTTCTTTCCATATTAAGTCTTCAAAATCTGATGTGTAGTTTATACTTACAGCACATCTCAGTTATGCCTGGCCATGTTTTAGGAGCTCAATACCCACATGGGACTACTGGCTACCATATTGGATAGTGCCATTCTTGAAGCTTCCAGCTTTTCTAACTTGATGCCTCTGATTTGTGGGCTCAGAATATAGATAACCAAAGAAGTGGGAATAGTGTCTAAAGTAAGAATGACAGGGTGTGATTGACAGCCTCATGAGCTTACCTAGGAGAGAAACTTGTGGGGTTGGAGAATAAGGATTTGTCAATATTGGCTCTGACTGTTCACACTCTTTCTGGGCTAACTCCCAGATTGTTTCTCAACTCCAGATAAGTGGCATGGTTGCACTTTTTAAAGTGATGGCACAAAAAAAGAAATTGGATATTGGTCTTCTGATTATATATTCTAAATATGCAGTTAGAAAAGAAGCATTTTAAGAATCTCTAAGAGTAAAGCAAATTAATACCTTTGTTTCCTGAAAATTAGAGGAATTTGATATGCCATGATAGCCCTCTTCATTTTATTTGGAAAACTCTTTTTTGAAAGCATATTAAGAAAATCTTCTGATTAGCTTCATGCCTCTCCTTCAGCAAGGTCAAGGGTGCACTTGTCATTATCACATAAGATCTCATGAAAGTTAAACATGAATATACTGCACACATTTCATTGGGTTTGTCATGCCACACATTGTTTTAAATTCCATAATTCTCTTCTATAAAGAGTGCTTTCCATGACATTAGATTTGTTTTCAGAAGAAAACACAATTTAGAGTTGTCATTGGTAATTGTGGTTGCAAGTATGCTTTCAAAGACCAGGAACAATTGTTTTGCTTTGAATGTATTTTTAAATGCTTACTATCTCAAATGTTGTAAAACTACTATTGATTATATATCATTTTGCAAACAAAGAAACCTAAAGGTTATAAATATATTCTTAAAATTCAGGGTATGTACAGAGTGTGAACATCCTGTATATTCTTTTTTTGTGCTTACAGCAATACTTCCCATTGCTTTAGATAGGTAGGGTTAAATTGGCAATCTTTTTTTAATAAGTGATAGAAAACCAAACTCAAACTGGCATTTTTAAAAGAGGTGGTAGAGTTTAATAGCTCACTTGGCAGAATAATTCAGAGGTAGCATTGATTCAGACCCAGATTAATTCAATATCATGTCCTAAGTCAGTTTTCCTTCTCTACTTCTTCTTGGTTGGCACCCACCCTCAGGCTTTCAGCGGTGCTCCCTGAAAATCTGGGGCTCATCTGAGCTTCACAGTCTTATACAACCACTCCCCACAAAGAAGAGAGCTTCTGTGTCCCAAAGTTCCCAGTGGAATTACTTGGGTTCACTCTGATTGGAATGGCTCATGCTAACTGGGTTCTTCCCTCAGGCTACAAGTTGGGTCAATACTGAAACCATATGGCTGATAACAGGGGAACTGGGAGTTCCTTGGGGAATGAAGAAGAAAGGAGAAAGTTAAACCACAAGGCTCACTACAGGACGTTTTGCTTTAAAGCAGATGCAGTCAGAAGAAATTTATGTGGCGGTAAGGATCTAATTCATATAATATTCACCATCACCGGCCTTGTAGGACCATCCCCAGGAAAGGATTTGCAATATATGAAGAAGGAAGACTTAGACTTTATATCCTGAAGAAGAGCGGGGATTGGAATAGATGGGTGGGAGGCGGAGGAGGGGAGGAGGGAATGTTTTGCTGTACTTGTAATTTATTTTTTGGACTGTCTTGCCAAAAATGGTGCAAGTGACCAGAAATCAGAACTAGAGAGCTGGATGGAGTTGGGAGACGGGAGTGGGAGAAAAATGAAGGCAACAGAAAAATAGAATACAATTATGTTTCAACAGAAAAAGCTAAGCATCAAAATTGTGTCTTTTGCTCATCATTGTATCCCTAGTACCTGGCCCATAGTGGGTGTTAAATGAATGTTTATAAGTAACTAAAGTAATGAATGAAGGTAGCCATCAGTGATGATGATGTCTGCCAGACTGCTCCTTTTCTGTAGCTCTGAGGTAAAAGCAGCTCCTAAAGGAAATTAGACAACAAGGATCACTTGGTCCCAGAGGAATGACTTTTCATTAAGTCTTGAATGCATGGGCAAAATTTCAGAGAATTTTTCCGCCTTCTACTGCTTTCCCTCAAACCTAGATGATAGCTTCAGTATTCTTAAACCCAATCTCACATTGCCTGATGTAAAAACTAAATTTCTGGCCAGGCACAGTGGCTCATGCCTGTAATCCCAGCCCTTTGGGAGGCCAACGTGGGCAGTTCACTTGAGCCCAGGAGTTTGAGACGAGCCTGGCCAACATGTCAAAACCCCGTCTCTACAAAAAATACAAAAATTAGCCAGGCATGGTGATGTCGGCCTGTAGTCTCCACTACTTGGGGGACTGAGGCATGAACCCAGGAATTCAAGGCTGCAGTGAACTATGATTGTGTCACTGTACTCCAGCCTGGGCAACAGAGTGACCCTGCCTCAAAACAACAACAAAAAAACCCCTAAATTTCTGATTATCACTAAGTTTTTGGTTATGAAATTACTGGAGGAAATGCAGCATTCTCTTGGTTGAAAACCATTTGGAGAGCCATGCACATTCCTGATCCCTAAGTCCTTGAGGTTGCACCCATCTTGAGGAACAGTGTGCTCTCTGGACTGATGTTACTGAATCCAACCCAGTTCCTACTTGATTTTTGTGGCATTAGCTTGGCAGCTAGATTTTACCTTTACTGTTTTTACCACATATCAGAAGATGACAAATCACACTGGTAGCAAGGATAAGGGAGTGATTTTCAAGGCATTCTAACTCTAAAAAACAGTTGAGAAATCAGCTTTCTTTATGGAGTAAGAGAACACGACACGGATGAACAAATTGTCCTGTTATCCAATAAGATTATCAGGGTTATTAGTGAGATAATAAAAAAAGTCTGCATGACTACCAAAAGTCTCCAGACTAAGGATCAGAAGACCTGGTTTCTTATTCTTCCACTTTCTACCTGCAACTCTGGCCAAGTTTCTACGCTGCTCTGAGCTACAGGGTTTTTCATTGTGAAAGAGGGTGAGAGTTCCTCCACATTATTCCAATATATTGAGGAAACCCCATGAGATAATGCATGGGAACGTGTTTTGGAAACTCGAAAGTGCTGCCCCAAATATAAGGTAACACTATTTACAATTGACACTTCCACAAAGTTTAGCCAACAGCCCCACACATTGCATCCTCTTCTAGTAACATTAATCAAAATCAGGCCAAAGGTGCAGGTAGGACAGACGCCTGACTTACTAGAAAATAAATGTCTAGTCTATTCCACTTGTAGTGCCAGTTTACATTGTCTGGTGAGGGCCAACGACCGGGGCCTCGGGGTAGAAGGAAGAAAGGGTATCAGTGGAACTGAGAGGGTATACTGTGGCGCCTGGAAACCCAACCTCGCCCGGGTTCCCTGTCTCCTGTGTGCAGCATGCTTGCAGTGCATTCCTCTGGCAGGTAAATACTCGGGAGTCCCGCAGCCCACTTGTGCCCACCTAGCCTGTAAGTGCCCCCGAGGGTATCAAAGCACGCGGATTTCCACTTGAAACAAAGCCACTGCACGGCAAGTTTCCCCGTTAATAATAAGGAAGAAAGAGAGGACTTGGCAGCCATGGCGGATCTGCAGTAATTAAACTGACGTTGCTGATTAAAAGCCTAGGGGTTGCCTGCAGCCTCCCAGCCTGCACTCCAACGGCTCCAACTCTGCAGGCGGGCCGTGAATGTCTCTAGATGCATATTAAGCAAAAAGTTTCTAAAGAGGATCGCGTGGAACCCAGCAATTGATTAAGAATCTCAATGGCCCTAATCCACCGAGAATTGAACGAAGAGCTCCCCAGCCAGCGCAGCGCTTTAAATGGGGCTTAGAGACAGCAAGCCCCGCCGGGAAGGAGGGGCGGGGAGTTACTGCGCATGCGTCCGAGGGTGTCAGGCGCATCTGAAGCAGAAGTGTTCCAGCCTATTCAGCAGCGAGTGGCTGGAAATCAGCAAAGTGAGAGGCTGCGCGGCGTAACTGAGGGACTAGGGGAGGCTGGGGGCTTTTTTCTGAAGAGGTGTGAAGCTCAGGGGAAGGAGTAGACGTGGAAACCACGTAAAGTAAAATCGTGGCAAGTGGGTATAGTCCTAAAATCTCCTTCGTGAGCCCCCTCCAGTTGGGACCCCAGAACGTGCAGCTCAATGTATGTTTGGAATGAATGGGTGAAAAGAAGCAGGAGGAGGAGGGCGGTCTAGTGAAGACTCCAGAGGGAAGCAGCCCATCCCCTACCTCAAGAAAGCACCGCCACTGCAGTGGGAACGGACACGCGTGTACACAGCCATGAATGAGGTTTGAAAGAGGCCCCACCCTCCATTACACCTTTGCTCCGCCGTGGCCCCCAGCCAAGGCTAATCTCCCAATCAGCACTTGCTTCCGGAAGCTTCTTTCCCTTTCCTTCTGATCACTCATTGGCCTTTCAACCCCTAGTTTTTTGTCTGTGTATGGGACTGTCTCCCCCGCCCCCCTTGACTGAAGTTCCTTGAGAGCAGCAGCCCTCTTTTTATCAAGGAAGAGATTTGAAGATCAGGACGTTCTTATCCAAGTAGATGCTGACCACCTGGGTAGTCAAGACAGGGCTATGCACAGTTAATGTGAGTCTAATCATAGTGCCACGGTTATTGTTCTGCAAGGAGCTGGTCACAGAGCACTAGATTGCATTGTCACTGGGAAATAAGCTCATTTTTTTGGCGTCTCGGCTAGTGTTATGTAGAAATTTGCCACAGCTGTTACTGCTGCGAGCCTGCCCTGGATCTGATCATCTATTATATCATCTCCATCTGATGGACCGCACCTCACTCCTTGTTTTTCAGAGCTGGCAAAGTTGGACCAAGGAAAGTGATAGCACCAGCTAAGAGGAGTGTGCAAGAAGGGACGGAGGAGGAGCACTATGTACTGGGGGAAAGAGATGGGGTCTTCCGGGACAGGGGTAAGGACACAAGACTGAGGGCACGAAGGAAGGAAACTGCGAGGAAGTAGAGTAGGGAAGTGGGGAGGTCAAGAGATGGTGACCGCTCTCCTCTGCATGCCCCAAGGAGATAGTGATGACATTCCATCTCCTTGGGGCATGCAGAGGAGAGTGGTTGATATTTCCAGTTGAAATATCAGAAGTCTATTTGGGACTCCCTCCTTCTGCGGGCCTCAATCTGTCATCTTCCTTGGAGCAGGACCAAAGCAAGTAAGATAAAGTCACAGTTTCTCATTCTTCTTCACTCAGCTTTTCTTGAGGTGAATTGGCATTTTTGTAAAAAAGTGTATTCCCTGCCATGTATGGTGGCTCACCCCCATAATTCCAGCATTCTGGAAGCCGAAATGAGAAGACTGATTGAGGCCAGGAGTTTGAAACCAGCCTAGGCAACATAGCGAGACTTCCATCTCTATAAAAGAAATTAGCCAGGTATGATGGTGCACACCTGTAGTCCTAGCTACTTAGGAGGCTGAGGCAGGAGAATCACTTGAACTCAGACGTTCAAGATTACAGTAGTTAAGCGTTCTCCTGTACCACCAAGGGAGGTGGGTGTCACTAGCCACAAGAGGATATGTGAGCTAGTCACCAAGGACTGGGGCTGACTCCCCGAGCACCAGGACGGTAAGAATAAACTTCTGATTATTCCCCTGTCCCCGACCCCCACTTCGATTGGAGTTAAAGAGATATGCCCTTATGTGACTTAAAAAAAGGAGCCCTGCTCTCCTAGAGTCACATCCCCATAGGCCAAGACACCGTCTTATATATAATTATTGGTGCTTCATAAATGGCTGATATATAAAGAAAAAACATGTCTATCAGGGGCTATATCCGACCTTATTCACAGCCTCTTGTAGAAAGCTGCCCTGATCACAGTCTCTGTAAGGGCCAGTTGTGTCTCTTGTGAGTGACCAGTTTCTCTGACCTCCCCTCAAGCCATGACTGACTGACCGAGGAAGTCAATGTGACCACTGAGAAGCAAGGCGTAGCCTTAGACTCTGAGTTTCTAACTCTCTCCACTTTGCTAAGATGGGGTTATGCCTCATTTCTGAGAGATTTCCAACCCTTTACCATATATCCCTCTTGGGGAGGTCGCTTGGGGAGGTATCTGGTTCTTAGCACCAGGAGAGCTCTCGAAGGACCCAGTTGCTGAAAATGCTGAAAGTAGGAAATGGAGGTCAAGTGATGGCCATAAAGATTTTCCTGCTCCTCCCCTTGAATCAGGGATGGCCTTGCGAATTGCTTTGGCCCATAGAATGTAGGCAAAGTGATACTGTACCGGTTCCAGTCTTGGTCTTAAGAAGCTTGCCAGCTTTTGCTTTCACCCCCTTGGATCCCTGAGCTAGTATAGAAAGAGATCCAGCTGCAAGGACTGGTTACATAATTTGCAGGGATTAATGTAAAATGAATGCAGGGTTCCTGGTTTTAAAATTAAGAATTTTAAAGTGGTGACAACAGAGCGCTATACCAAGCAGAGGCTTGATCCGAGTTGGTCTGGGCATCCCAGCCAGGCTTCCTGACACATATGTGATGCTATCTTGGATTTCTGGCCCAAATTAAGCTTCCTTATGGACATGAGAGGATGATCTACCCCAGGTGAGACCAGTAGAAGAACCCAGCCCAGATTACAAAACCATGAGCAAATAAATGGTTGTTACTCAAGTAATGCTCACTAAAGCTCTTCATGACAAATGGGTGTAGTCCTAGGGGCTGCTAAGGCCTTGGTTGGTATTTTATATAGCAATAGGTAACTGAAGCATGAAGAATAAGAGTTTGCAGTGAGTGGTCACCTACCATATTCCAGGCTCTGTGCTGGTGCGTTGCGTGTGCTGGCCCACCTGATCCTTATAACGCCTTCCATAATTCCTTTCTACAGGAGAGAATACAGCAGTTCCGAGGGCAAAGGATTGGTACCACTGCTCCCCACTCAATAAACGGCACAGGCAGAATCTGCATGTGAGTCTGACTAATTCCAAAACCCATATAATATCCCTGCATTGAAACAGATACAGGGAAACTGCATGCAGCTTGGAGACTACTGGATAGGGATCTGATGCTGTCTTTCCCAAATTTCCTCACAAATTCTACAGTTGAAGTATCAGGCAGGGAAATAACCAGGTGAAAGACCCCCTAATGGGACATTATCACATCACACCTCTGTGATCATCAACCATAATCCCTGGGGGCTGACCTAGAGGTATCCTACAATGAAGCTTATTTGGGTTTTTTGATAGGTATAATAGTGAGAAAATTTGCTCTGGTTAGCTATGGATAGTTGCTGAGAATGTGCCCGACCCCTCGATAGTAACCAAGCAGCCCCAGGCCTCTGGAAGGATTGGAGAAATCCAAGACGTGGGATTACGAGAAGAAACTGTGGTTGACATTTCATTTATTGTGCTGTCTTAAACTTAGTTTGCCTGAGATGAGATATTTACTTTACTGTACTAGTTATGTTCTATACTAATCATATTTGGGGACACAAAGAATAGCGTGAAAAGTTAAAATGTAGCTTGTAACTTTGGCTCTGCTGAGATATACCTTGTAACTTTGGCTCTGCTGAGCTGTTCTTGTAAAAACAGGAACTCTGCAAAAGGGACGAACCACACAGCTTGACTGCCAGAGAGGGATGACAGCCCATAATAAGCTTCTCATAAGCCCCTGTTTCCATCTCACCCAGGATCTCCTGTCTTCCTTAAAAATAAGGACTTTACCTTATTTCCTGCCCAGCTGTTGAAATATCAAACTGTACCAAGATTTTGGCCATGATGGACTCCGCTCTCTGCATACTAAGATATTTATCTTCCTGGTCATAGGTAGAAATATTAACAAATAATATTCATTGCCATTTATTGAGCAGTGTGTTAAGCATCCATATTATTTAATGGGTGTTTTTCTAGCTGTGTTTTAAAGTTGCAGCATTTGAATGAATAAATGACTTCTGAGCCAAAGTGAGAAAAAGCAAACAAGATACAAATAAGTTTTCTAAACAATTTTTCTCCCCAAAATTAGCTCTGCTACTTTGTACAAGTCTCCTTTTCTAAGTTCTAGCTTCTCATCTATTCAGCAGGGATATGAACATCTACAAGGTTATGGTCAAGTTTAAAAGCACATTTGTCTGATACCAAGTAGTCAGTAAACAATCATTATCATCATTACTCCTCCAGTTGGTAATTTGGGCGGGGCTTGACAGTGAGTTTGGGTAACAGGCGATAAGGTAAAGGACATTAGGGAAAGTCTGAAAGAATGTAATAAGGATAATATATTTTAAATGTATTTTTCTTTTTCATGTTTTGTGAATGACTTTTCCCCTAGTTAGCCTAAGGTAATTCTTATGCCTCAGGGAGGTTTGAGATTGTTATAGCAGGAATGCAAAGGGATAAAAAAAAAAAAAAAAGACAGATCTAGGTTTGGTTTCCAAATTTGAGTTCCTAGAAAAACTGAGGATTGGGGGTTGCTCTGGCAAGATGGCCAAACAGGAACAGCTCTGAGCTGCAGCTCCCAGCAAGACCAATGCAGAAGACAGGTGATTGCTTCATTTCCAACTGAGGTACCCCGTTCATCTCACTGGGACTGGTTAGGCAGTGGGTGTAGCCCCACAGATGGCGAGCAGAAGCAAGGTGGGGCATCACCTTACCTGGGAAGTGCAAGGAGCTAGGGGCCTCCCTCTCCCAGGGAGAGGAAAAACCAGTTCAAAAATGCTTAAACTTCCAAAATCCAAAATGCCTCCTTTCCAAATGATTGCGACTCCTCTCCGGCAAGGGCACAAAACTGGGTGGAGAATGAGTTTGATGAAGTGACAGAAGTAGGCTTCAGAAGGCGGGTAATAACAAACTCCTCTGAGCTAAAGGAGCATGTTCTAACTCAATGCAAGGAAGCTAAGGACCTTGATAAAAGGTTACAAGGAACCACTAACTAGAATAACCAGTTTAAAAAAGAACATAAATAATCTGATGGAGCTAAAAAACACAGCACGAGAACTTCACAAAGCATACACAAGTAACAATAGCCAAATCGATCAAGTGGAAGAAAAGATATCAGAGACTGAAGATCAACTTAATGAAATAAAGTGTGAAGACTAGAGAAAAAAGAATGAAAAGGAACAAACTAAGCCTCCAAGAAATATAGGAGTCTGTGAAAAGACCAAACCTATGACTGATTGGTGTACCTGAAAGTGATGGGGAGAAAGGAACCAAGTTGGAAAACACACTTCAGGATACTATCCAGGAGAACTTCCCCAACCTAGCAAGACAGGCCAACATTCAAATTCAGAAAAGACAGAGAACTCCACTAAGATTCTCCACAAGAACAGCAACCCCAAGACACATAATTGTCAGATTCTTCAACAAAGGACAAAATGTTAAGGGCAGCCAGAGAGAAAAGTTAGGTTACCCTAACTTTTACCCTAAGCCCATCAAACTAACAGCAGATCTCTCTGCAGAAACCCTATGAGCCAGAAGACAGTGGAGGCCAAATATTCAACATTGTTAAAGAATTTTCGACCCCAAATTTCATATCCAGCCAAACTAAGCTTCATAAGCGAAGGTGAAGTAAAATCCTTTATAGATAAACAAATGCTGAGGGATTTTGTCACCACTAGGCCTGCCTTAAAAGAACTCCTGAAGGAAGCACTAAATATGGAAAGGAAAAACCCGTACCAGCCACTGTAAAAACACATCAAAATATAAAGACCAACAACACTATAAAGAAACTGCATCAACTAATGTGCAAAATAACCACTTAACATGATAACAGGATCAGATTCATACATAACAACCTTAAATGTAGATGGGCTAAATGCCAACAATTAAAAGACACAGACTGGCAAATTAGATAAAGAGCCAAGACCCATCTGTGTGCTGTATTCAGAAGACCCATCTCACGTACAAGACACACATAGGTTCAAAATAAAGTGATAGAAGATTTACCAAGCAAATGAAAANAAAAAAAAAAAAAAAAAAAAGATCTAGCTTTGATTTCCAAATTTGAGTTCCTAGAATAACTGTCTTTAAAATTCAGATGTTGGGGATAAAGAAAAGGATTTTCTAGATTCCTATTGCTTCCATTAAGCTATCAAGGGTCAGAACAATGAATCTGAATTCTACAGCTATTGGTAGAGAGAACTGACCTCTGATATAAGAGGTATTCTTACTGCACAGAAAAGATGAGGTGTTTTTTCCTTTCTGAACCAAGGGAATGCCAGGGGAAAAAAAGATAGAGATTGAAGTGAGTTTTATATGTGTTGGCCTCTCCATTCAGGGCCGATATCACAAGTAGTAGATAAATTGAAAGAAAGGAATCCCAAAAGAAGAAAAAGACTGTGTCCTGTTCCTCACTTAAAACTCAGCAAAGGGATCAAGTGGCCCATGCCAATATGTAACACTGAAAGAGAAAACCAACAGCATGGGCCTTTTGGCTTGGAGGAGGTCAAAGTGCACCTTTCTTCAGCCATATTACATCTGGGTTCATCTAGCCACCCCTGCCATGCTACCCAAGTTCAACCCCAATGAGATCAAAGTCGTATACCTGCCAAGTGCCCTCGTGGAAAAGTGGGTACCATGTCTACCCTGGCCCTTAAAATCAGCCCTCTGGGTGTGTCTCCAAAATAAGTTGGTGGTGACATTCCCAAGGCAACAGGTCACTGGAAGAGTCAAAGGGTTACGATGAAATTGACCATTCAGAACAGACAGGCCCAAACTGAGATGGTACTTTCTGCCTCTGCCCTAAGCATCAAAGCCTTCAAGGAACCAGAGACAGAAAGAAGCAAAAAAAAAAAATCAAGCACAGTGGAAATGCCATTTTTGATAAGACTGTCAACACTGCACCACAGATGCAGTACCAATCCTTAGTCCTAGAACTCTCTAGAACCCATAAAGGGATCCTGGAGACTGCCCAGTCTATGAGTTGCATTGTTGATGGGGCCAGCTTCATGATATCATAGATGACATCAACAGTGGCACAGTAAATACCCAGCTAGCTGTGAACTACGAAGAAAAATATTTCAATAGAGAATCATTTGACAACTAAAAAAAAAACAAACAAAAAAAAACAGCATGGTTATCAGACATAGGATCTGCATGAATGCTCTTGTGCCTCCTTGAAAAAGCCAGTTTCCCAACGTGGTGAAACCCCATCTCTATTAAAAATACAAAAATTAGTTGGGCATGGTGGTGTGTGCCTGTAATCCCAGCTACTCGGGAGGCTGAGGCAGGAGAATCGCTTGATCCCAGGAGGTGGAGGCTGCAGTGTGCCGAGATCACACCACTGCACTCCATTCTGGGCTACAGAGTGAGNAAAAAAAAAAGCCAGTTTCCCAATGCAAAGATGTCAGTAGTACAAGTCAATCAGGTACCCAGAGACATTGCTAAAAAATGTCAATACCAAACATAATCACAGCATAAGGGCCAGTGTATGCAAATCTAAAGCCCACTTTCTCCTACTGCTGACTCCAAAAGCTCACTTTATCACATCACTGCCACCCCAATATACCAGGAAACCATCTAGAAATGAGGGTAGACAACAATAGGAGATTAGCCACTAACCTTTAAAAACAAAACAAAACAAAACTCTACACCAGAACGTCTTTCGTATCCAAAGAGACTAAGATATAGATAGTGATGAATGTGGATGTGGAGCCAATGAGTAAGATTTAATCAGTTGTAGAAAACAACGGAAGACACAACCAAATGTAGCTTGATAAGTTTTTGACCCCACTCATTATATGAAGAAAACAAATCATCCATAACTCTGCCATGGTAAACATCCAACACATTTTTTTTTTTTTTTTTTTTTTGAGACAGAGTTTCACTTTGTTGTCCAGACTGGGCTGCACCGGCAGAGTCTTGGCTCACTGCAACCTCTGCCCCCGGGTTCAAGCTATTCTCATGTGAGTAGCTGGAATTACAGGCACCCATACATTTAAAAAATATTTCTTTTCCACTTGTCTTGCAAATGCATGA